TTTGTGGAACTCACATGTTCAGTATAGATGCTGCTTGTCCTACATCCAACGAGGAATTTACTACCAACCTCCTCCTCCTCCTCGTCGTTTGGTGACAATGTTTGCATTGGATAATCCAATGTGAATGTTGCTGCACATTGTGTACTTTCATCATTCCCTTTGAGTCCCAACAGGAGACTCATTTTGCTTTTGTTTCGCGAGTATAACTGACTCTTTACCTCTGAAAACTGATCTATGGCTTGTGTTCGTTACCCATCTCTGTCAGTTCCTGGGGGAACATACGCGAACCCGAGTGACATTGAGAGAGATGAAGTTTTGGTTATCGTGGTGCGAGGTCGGAGTCGACGATTCGGCTTACTGTCAATGCTCCAATACTTCGTGCTCTCAAAACGCTAAAACTGAATAAACCTAACTAATATGGCCCAAATCGTACATATCTGCTCGTTTCTTTGGTAACTCCCTGACATTCATGTAACAGTGCAGGAGCTACCTAGGCGTCTCTTCGAGGGTTTCACGCCTCTGCAGCTAGACTGGCGAGTATCCATATTCTCTCAAGGGTAGCAAGCATGGTTCTCACGTGGATTTAACTGTTCAATGTGATAGATACGAGACTTGCTTAGTTCACTGCCAAAGCTCTCCCGCGTATCCTGGTGTTCGCGCTCAGTCTGTGACACAACAAGTTGCATAAGAGACTAGACCATTGCGTCGATGCTGACCATTGATTGCGATCATCATCGAGCTGTGTCATATCGAAGGAAAATGGCAACGACGAGCCCATTAGGAACCACATGTGGGCGGAGATTGCCTTTGCTGATGTTGGTTACATCATGTAACTTACATGACCATTCAACATTCATTTATTGTTCATTCTCGGCCATGCTTTCATGGTCATCTTTGTTTACCGCTTTCAATTAAGGTTTGTCGACCCAGTAGATGTTGCGTTAGACAATACACTATGCTAGCCTGTGCCCGTAGCTGAGCACTCATCTGAGGATATGTCGGGTCACTCTCTATTGAGACAATAGATTACTAGGGCGCGCGCTTTAATTTTTGGGCGCGTGACACTGTTTAGCGGGTCGCAAATTGTTAATAACCCTTTCCAGAATTATCATTTGTGTTTGAGAGACCAGAGATGTCTGGAGATCCTGCTAGTGTTGAAGATCTTGAGGCACCGCTTAGTAAGGTTGTGCCTGCTGACGAGGAGCTCCCCAATTTGGACGACATCGACATCATGGAAGAGGAATCAGTTAAGCCAGCGGGCAATGTGGATGGTATGTTGGAGACAGGAGAAGAAGATGGCCTTATCCCCCCTGTGGACGAAGTTATGCTCGACCCCAATGGTGACACGGGAGGAGGCTCTACTGGGGAACCTACGACATCTGAGGACTTTGATGAAGACGATGATGAGAGCGAGGATGAGGACTACGTGCCGGGGTCGGAGGATAGCAGCTCTGGAGGTAGCTCGATAGATGAGGACGAAGAGGATTCGGATGTCCGAGATGTCGGCGGAGATCGTAAAGTTCAGGACCTTGAAGTCCCCAGTCATCATCATCATCATACTAAGGCTGAAGAGGAGGCCATGGACAAGAAAGCAATGGAGGAGTTGGAAGTTGAAGACGATCAGGTGTCGTTCACTGGTGGGGTTGGTGGCCTTCCTGGTGGGAGTATGTTCCCGGCGTTACACAAGTTGGTCCTTCAGAACTCTTCTGATGATATTACTGCTTACCTTAATGATACTGGTTTTGAATCAATGTATTATCAGATAGATGGTCTAGGACGTTCTCCTCTTCATTTGGCATTGTTATATGGTTTGACGCGATCTGCTAAGGCGCTACTTGAGGCCGACGTAGTCTACTGCCAGTCGGCTTTCGAGCGTCGCCTATCTAATATTGAAGTCGAAGGCGTTGGTCATTTGAAAATTATTGATGGTAAAATCGTTGTAGTCGATTCGGAAAATATTGTAGTAGAAAGTGGTATAGAAAATTTGAGTGAGAATATTAGGCAGAAAATAGATCTTGTAGAAAAAAATAAATTTTCTCGCAGCCTGGCCGCTAGGCCCTTCGACGACCTCCCCACTGTGCATTTGGCTATGTCTACTGCTCCGTTCGACGTCGAGGCCTCCATCGAGCTTGTACGGCTATTGGCTGACCATCCTGGCATTGAGATCGCCTCTGCCCTGGACTACTACGGTCGTAATGCTGTCCATATCTGTGCTTTGAGTGGTGCTGGTGTGGCTCTTTACGATGCCATCACTAAGGGTATGTCGGAGGAGCAAATCTACGCCCTTCTGTCACAGAGGGATCGCTTTGGATGGTGGCCTTTGCACTACGCCATTGACAACAAGGACCCATCTTGTCAAATGGTCGAATGTCTGTCCACGTCAGACCAGTTAGTCGATCAGCAAGTTGACAACCTACATATCTTCGTATTCGCTATATCGCGCTATGCGTGGAGACAGGCCTTCCAGATCGCCGTGCTCATGGGTGGACTAAGTGTCATGCCTGATGCCGTGCTAGATCGTGCCGGATCTGTGGCTGACTCCCATGGGACCACTGCTGAGTTCGATGAGCTGATCGCGGCCTTGGCTGCTGGTCAGTCGGGTCTGCCCGATGACTTCGAAGAAAGGGCTCTGAGTGGTGGTAGCACTCTGGTCGTCACCGACTCAGGTGTGCTCAATCATATGGGAGTCGACCCTGAGGGCCCGCATGCAGTCGGTGACCTTCATAGCCGTCTGAAGCGCTTCACAAGGGTGGTCGAGAATCCTTCTAGGGTTGAGGTACTCACAGGCGGTGTCACAGGATCTACTCGAGGCACGGTACACCACCCCGAGTTCGCCTCCAAGCTCTTCTTGGAGACTTCGGTCAGTGACTGCCCTATGGTGGACATTCTGCGTGTTCATGATTGGAACTACGTCGAGCCTATCATTTCGAAGTGTGAAGCTCTAAGGAAGCGAGCGGTGGCTGAAGGTGAGACCAATATGAACCGACGCAGTATGCCAATTGACAAGACTGATACAGCAGTCACTGTCGACTCGTGGGCAGCGGCACGAAAGGCCGCTGGCTGTGCGGTACTAGCAACTGACCAGGTTTGCTCTGGTACTGGTTACCGGAACGCTATGGCGATCATTAGACCGCCAGGTCATCATGTTGCCTCTCGAGGAGCTGTGAACCCTCAATTAGAGGACGAAGACGAGGAAGGAGATGGATCACAAGGGTTTTGCCTTTTGAATAATGTCGCTATTTCAGCCGCTTACGCCCTAAGCAATTACAGGTCTACCATTCAACGTGTTGCTATTGTCGACTTTGATGTGCATCACGGTAATGGTACTGAAGCTATCGTCCGCGGTCTGTCTGGACCCGTCACTGTGCGTAAGCAGATGCGCGTGGCCGGCTGTGAGATGACTGTCACGAGGTCGAGCCTAATGCCTTGGGTCGATCCCTCTACTGATCGTGATAATGTCTTCTTCGCATCGGTGCATCGGTTTGATGGTCGCTTCTATCCAAGGAGTGGCCCTACTTCACGAGATGATGTAGAAATCACCGCTCGAGGCAAGGGCCATACGACCGTTACCACTGAGTACGCTGATGGCACTCAAGATGTTATGTCTGATCACGGCCTGGCCGACCGCAACATAGTGGACGTCGGTCTGAGCTCAGACTCCAAACCAGAAGATCTTCGTAAGGCTTTCACTGATCGGATACTGCCAGCCTTAATCCAATTCTCGCCCGACTTGATCCTCATCTCTGCAGGGTTTGATGCCCATTTGAGAGACCGTCTCGCACAAGGGGAGTGTGACTTCTCTGAGCGAGAGTTCTATTGGATGACTGAACAGGTTATGGCAGTTGCAGCGCAGACAGCTGAATGCCGAGTGGTGAGCGTCTTAGAAGGTGGTTACAACACAAAGTCTCAGTGGCTCAGCCCACTTAGTCAAAGTGTTGCAGCACACTTACGTGCGTTGATGACGGTGAATGCCAGGAAGTCTGAGGTGGCTACTACCGTTGAGTCGTCACCTGTCGAGGATCAGCAGCAAGAGACCGTCTCGTCGAGTAAGAGGCCAATTGAAGAAGATGAGGAAGAGCTTGAGCTCTTCGGAGAAGATGTTCCAGACGTCAAGCGACCGCGGTTGGAGATGGACTCGCCTGAATTGCTAGAGGAGCTATAATCATTATCGCTTATGTAGTTGTATATTTCTGCTCACGGCTCTGCTGCCTATACTGTTGCTGTGCCTATTGGGATTCGCCCTGAGACCTCGAAAGAGAGTATTGGAACTAATTGCTCACGGTTAGCGATCTGAAGAACCATTCGGGTTAGATTTCGTAGATACTTGAGGCCGATTGTCATCGTTATTGAACCCTGTCTGTGAAGTGTAGCATTTGATAGTATAATTATTGTTGTTATTGAGATTACTCTGTAATGTTGACAGCAGCAACAGTGGCAGCACCCGTGTGATCAGGATATGTAATATTATCTATCTCCTTCCTTAAACGTCTTTCTTCACCATGAAAAGGTCGCTTGAAAGTCAATCCACATGTTGAGTTTTCATAGTAGGTCAATAATAGTCTGCTATATTACACTCATTTAGAAAAGCACGACGAAGATCGTTGGCTAGTAAACACTTTCGCAACAAACTTTTTTGCTTGTGGAGGCTCTTAGTATGCGGTGCGGATCGAATGCCAGGTTGTGTCTCGAGTGGGGGATATTGTGTATGTAGATTTAAGTTTAAATGCCGGTGGATGGGATATCGTCGCCGATATGCTTCAAAGGCTCCGAGAGCTTCGATTTCATCAGGTCGATACATAGTGGTCGTAAATCGAGAGTGTGGGTGGCTAAGATAGAGGAAGATGTAATGGCCCTCATTCTATGCGTTTTCCGCCATTGGCTGCTCGTTGAAGCGATGTCTCGTTAGGTGGGAGGGCTGGCTGGACAGCTGTGTGTAGTAAAGATGATCAACACTGCTGAGTTCCGGAGTCGAGAGCAAATTCAACACATCTTGGATGAACGAAAAGCTGCGTACATGGCTGGCCAAGTGATGGATGATGCCTTGGTGCCTGTCACTTGAGCTTTTTCATCTTCAGAATTCCGACCTGCAGGGACGGTGTTGTGCCTTACTGGGAACTTACAAGACGCCAGATCAGGTTTGTCTGGTTCTCACTGCTATGAAGGGTGATCCTATTCATCATCACTTCCAACGTGCAGCTGGCGGGCACTTCACTGAGTATCGAGCAAAGTAATATGCGTATCTGCATTGACATTTTCGGTGTTACGCATTTTTCGCGTTGATCATTTTTGGTGTCACTTCAGTGGTATGCGTAGCAGGATATCCGAGCATCGTCAAATGTGCGTGTTCATTGTTGAACTCGTTTTTGTCATTGTCATTCCTGCCTGCTCACTTGCCAAACTTACACGGGACTCGGTGTGAATCAGCTTTATAGGACTCATGGTACGTAGGTACTATACTTACTACATAGCATCAACGTTGAGGATACTGCACAGAGAAGGTTACGTCTATCGAGATTTAAAGGTATCATGACACCTCTCTACAGCATAGTTGGGCTCTAGCCACTTTGATCAGGCCAGCAACGTGTTATTGGTTGAGGGACGTCCTGTCCTGATTGACTTTGGTATGTGCAAAAAGATTGCCGAGACAGGAGGCAGGACCTATTCGGTCTGTGGCACATACCATGCTATGGCCCCCGAGGTCTGTCCCTACTGACCAGATTCTCACCATCAGAAGACTCTGAGGCAGGTACGGGCACTTTCCGGCATCGATCACGATGCTCGGGTCGCGACCACGAGCGGGTATGGGTACGCTGTGGACTTCTGGGCGTTGGGTATCCTTTTGATAGAGATGCTTACTGGTAAGCCGCCGTTCGGGTACAGGGATGGTGATATTGGCGACCTCTTCGATCTCTCAAGAGGTAATAGTGGACAGAAATGAGGGAATCTATTGAAGTTCATATCGGCTGAATGGTAGAAACCAGACCAGTGCATGTCAATTGAGAATAGCACGGACGTGGAATAGCAGTGACTGTGGTCAGGCAGTCCAAGTACAATACACTGGGCTTCTGGCTTCCATCCATCACGTGAGCTGATCGACTTGGTGGAAAAACTGTTACAGCCAGATCCATCACAGCGGCTCACTGACTGGGACGCGACACTGAGCCATCCTTATTTCACCGGCATAACCGACGATATGCCCCCACCTGAATGGGACCACGACTTGGGAGCTGATCTGTGGGATACAGACGTCAGCGATGAGTCCTTCACGAGCAGCTCGGTAGATGTTTTCCGCGACTTCTGATGCTCGTCTCCAGGGAATGTATGCCTGGAATTGCGTTATTCAATTTGTCATCGGTACTGGGCTTGCTCCTGCTGTCAACTTCTAGCTCGACAGAATACATTACCACTCATTGAGTGGCACTCAATATGGGATATACTAGCGCTGGGACAATGCCCGTGACATTGGAGAGTCTTCAATGGAGACACTCGTAGGCGCTAAGTGATATTTTCGCAGAATGGGTCTTCTACACTGAGACGCTCACTGGAATGCATGGATGGATCGAATCACTGTCACAGTGACACTGTGTGATGAATAAGCCAAATTCGAGAGCAGCTGGCCCTGTGTTTACAAATTGTGTACTAATTATAGGCTACAATGAAAGGTACATAGGTGTTCATCCTAGGTTGGCACCTTCCCAGTTGGGAGGTACAGTCTTATCCGTCTTGGAATCGCAGAAGGTCCCGTTCTGGAAGGTTCCGTTCATTTTTGAAGAAGGCTTGTTATGGGATTTTTATTCTACACCTTTTCAATCTCAAATTCAGCAAATGAAAGAACAAATTAGAAAAATGAAATTTGATTTTAGCCGGATGGAAGGAGTTTTTCACCGAATGAAAGTTCAAATTCGACATGAAAGATCGATTTTCGTAGACCACTCGAAAATGAAAGTTCAAATTCGTAAATGAAATTTATGAATTCGGAAACACAAGTTCAAATTCGTCAAACACAAGACCAATTTCGACCAATGAAAGCTCACTTCCATTTGCTCGTGAAACTTGTTTCATCAACGTCGACGACGTTGATGAAACAAGTTTCCCGTGGCACGACGTAGGGTGGCACGCGGAAGGAAAAATAGAAAAATTATTTCCTTCGGAAGGAAATTTGAAATTTGAAGGAAAAATGAAGGAAAAATACGGAAAAATAAGGAAAAATAAAATTTTTCGCTTGGCCTGCCAAGGTTTGGCAGGCCAGAGGGTCACTATCTCATTCAATCAAGCTGCTGGCAGATGATTTGCACTCATTAATCACGTTTCAAAGTCTGATTAACTGTGACTGACTCAGAACCACACTGGAGGATACCAGGGCGTGCGCTAAAGTTGAGCGGTTGAACATGCGCGTTTTCCATCGGAATGTTTCCCACGACTAAAGCTGTCGTTGAGCGTTACTTGATTGATTCATTGATGGTTGCGTCCCTTTGTTACAATCACGCACTCTGCCTCTGTGTTCTATCGTCTTCATCATGGTGCATTAAACATACCATGATGGACCTGCGTCAAAATACACTGTATTTTGATGCAGTTGCCAGTTGTATAACGCTGGGTTATTTTGTGTTTCAGCGCAATTTTCAACCCTACACTACCCAATCACGTTACAGAAGCCCAATCACGTTACACGTTTACATGTTTCAGCGCAAACCTTACACGACTGCAATCATCAAGAGTGTGGACTCGGCGTGGGAGAGTGATTCGTCCGCCTCGACATTGTTTGATCAACGGAATGGTAGAGTATGTAGTATCAGCAACAGTCTTATTTTTCTCGGCCAGCATTGGAAATGCCTTCCAGGGACCAGTGAAGCCTTTCTTTTCCGATCACTTTCACAGGTTCGAGCGCTCATGTCAGCAAGAAACGCAGACGGAAACACTGACGAATCATGATGCGAAGCGAGGTGCAAATGTCAGCCTGTCCATAACGATGATTATTGATCAGGTCAGAGCCTCAGACGCTGAGCCTGCGGCCGGTTACGGAACCACTGCCTAAATGTTGCGTCAGGGCTACCTATCCGTTTGTTTTGGAGTACGCTACGTTGATACTTTATCGTGTTGTGCTTGTGGGAGCGCAGCGTATCCCGCTCGAATAAAATGATCATGGTGCGAAGACTTCGCAGCGAAGTACCACGCAATAACTGAAACCGCAACCTGGGCCTTCCAGTGAAAGTGCGAATCGAATTCTCGCTCGCCGCAAAAATCGTTGATCATCCTGGCGAACAATGCTTCCCTATACTCAGTCTAATCGAGACTATTAACACAGGCACATACCCCGACATTATCTGTTGTGAGACCCCTTCTTTTTTGGCTTTTTTATGCCCATTTATGGCAATTTTGAAAAATTTTTCTCTATTTTTCCTTATTTTTCCTTATTTTTCCTATTTTTCCTGTCCGAAAGAATTTTCTAAATTTCCTTCATCTTTCCGAAGGAAATGGAAGGAAATAATTGGAAGGAAATAATTCGTGCCACCCTACGCGGTCCTGTTTCACAAGGATACTTAATTTAAGGCGCCTTAAATATAGGAGCAACTTAAGGAGTTGAACTTAAGAAGTACTCAACTCATTTCACAACGTTCAGGAGCAACTTAAGGAGCTCCTTAACTTAAGGCGTACTTAAGTATCTACTTAACCATGGTTACAGCCTGTAACTTACAGGTATAGAATAGAGTTACATATTCAGTAACTAAATTTTAGTTTTATGGTGTAAATGCTCGAGTGGTTAGGTTGTTCGTTTACCATACGATCGACGCAGGTAAGAGTCTGAGGTGTGCTGTTTCTATGGTCGTTTGCTGTTTCGCAACGACTTTCCTCGATCATGGGTAAGGTATCAATGGTAAGTTACCACTGGTAACGAGCTGCAAGGGGGTTCCCCACGAATTACAATGTTAGCTAGAATAAGTCATTCAACGGTCCGCTAAGTAGAAAATATACTCATGTGAACTCAACGGTGACGCAAATCACTGAAATAGTATACTCAAGGCGTTACTTAAGTTTAAGGCGCAATTTGCTCCTATGAAACAGGCCCATTGATTTCAAGATGGGAGGCGAGCGAGAATACAAGTAGCACTGTCCCTATTGGGACAGTACACCACAATTGGGGTTTTGGCGATTTATCTTACTTTGGTATTCGCGTACAGTGGCATCAACGAGAAATCATCTTGCGACTCCGGG